TGAGCCTGTCTTCTATATCTGAGATCCTGTCTTCACATTGGCTTAATCTGCTGCGGATACTTTCAATGGAATTTTCGTTCTCTTGGATATCATTTTGAATCTGTCTTATGGATTCCATTTTTTTCCTATGTTCAACATTCAAGGATTCCCTATTTTTTAAGAACCTATATATATTTTTTCTGTATCAAATCTAGAGTCACTAAGCATGATTTTCATTGTTGATACTATCTCAGCATTTATCTGAGAAATTATTTCTGATTAGAGTTTTTCTAGAGCCTCATCCAGTGGTTTGTTGTTTCCACTTTAGAGAAGCTAGGTTTTAGGCTTATTGCTCTTTGTGTTTGCCTTTAGTGAACTGGATGTTCTGGGGTTGCATCTTATCTTTGTGTCTTTTCATTTTCTTTAAGTTTAATTCCTGGGATGATGTTTGTAAATTGGCTATGGTGAGTTGCTTCATTGGTAGTGTTTAGAACCCTTAGGAAATGATTACTTCTCTGAGGTATCTTCCAAGTGTAACTGGTTTTGTGGTTTGAGTCTATTAAAAGACCCCACCTCTTCAATTTGTTGGGGATGGTAAGTTGCTGCCTATTTGGCACAGCCCCTCCTTCTTTACGGCTCTGCCACATAATTTTCTATGATCCTTAGTCTCAGTTTTGGAATACTAGGAAGAACAGCTCTTAAGAACAGTTATATCACTTTTGGCTATAGTGGTATCATCACCAGTGACAACACAGCCTAGAAAATGATAAGCTGGGCTAACCATTAATTTGCCACTTCTAACCTTATGACCTAGATTTGTAGTTATATAACAAAATCAAAACCAAACCAGAAAGTTATATGCAGTATATTAGTCCTTAATATGTCAATTTTGCTCTCAGTGGTTAAACTTTAAAATGGGTTAGACAGAAAATAGGAAGTGGAAGAAGAGGAAGGGATTAGAAGTAAGACTGGAAGACAAAAGTGGATCACACTAATTTTGGGAAACTGATGCAGAAGACTGGAGGGAAAGAGAGAAGGAAGAGAGAAAAAGAAGAACAGGACAGAACCATAGCCATAAAGAGCCTAGAAGTCACATTCAGATTCAGAGAAACAATATCAAAATGAAAGAGAAAAAAAAAACAAACCTACTATCACTGCCACAATAACACATACGAAAGAGAGAGAGAGAGAGAGAGAGAGAGAGAGAGAGAGAGAGAGAGAGAATCCATTTCCAGGTATGTTTCTGTTGCTAGCAGACAGTGTGTGGAGACTGAGTTCCGATTGGTGTTGACTTCACCCAGCAAGCCATCTGTAACTTTTTGGTGTGGTTGTGGATAATGTCATCAAATCTGCACCTTTTAGCCAAAACCAGCCTCATTTGGCCTGCAGTTGTCAGTGCACCTTCCATGGGCAGAAGCCCAGCTTGGGGCTGCTGGATGAAACCAGCAGCAGCCACTCTGAGTTCTGAGTTCAGTGAGCCCCTCAAAGATGTTTTCCAGCCAACTGCTGTCTTGCAAGATATGACTGAGCCCTCAGCACTCACTTCGAGCTTATGCAGTCCTTCGCATCTGGTAGCCCCTCCACTCCTGCATCTCTCCATGGAGGCCTCGGGGGTGGCCTGCAGTCACAGTGTGTGCACAGCTTTGAATCACTGCTCTTGTGCAGTGAGTCCTGTCTCAGGGAGAAGGCACTGCCAGTGACCTGCTGCTGCTTTGTTGAAGTTTCTCTCTTCCCTCTCTCGGTGGACTTCAATTCATGCTTCAGATCCGGCCTGGGTACAGGGGATACATGTCCCCCCTTTTTGTCTTCCAGTGTTTGGAGGCTTTTGGTACTCCCTCTGGATGTACATATTTTTCTCCATCTTCTCTCTGCTTCCTGGCCATGTGAACTGAGCACCTTTCATGTACTGCGTACCTGTACCATCCTTTTTTTTTTTTTTTCTTTGAGCCAGCTAATGATGGACTAAAATCCTGAGGTAAAGTAAACCTTTCCACCTTTAAGTTGCATATGTTAGGTATTTTGTACCAGCAAGCAGAAAGTAACTGAGACAGTGTGTAATGTTGTGTTCCCACATAATCAATCACATGGTTGCGTCTTTCATATTATTTAGATCTCAGTAAAAATGTCTTCTTTGATGGGAACTAAGAGTGTAGACCATATTTTTAGCATGTCTGAGGACCTGAGTTCAATTTCTAGCAACTTTACTTCAAAATCTATGATTAAAAAAAGAAAAGAAAAATGTGTTAGCAAGCCTCCTTGTATCTCTAAAATAGCGTTTTGGTTATTCTCTATGTAGATCTTAGCCTCATCGCAGTTGCCACAATTTTCCTTGTGTTACCTTATTTTCTATCGAACTGTGCCTTCTTCTGCATGTAAGATATAAGCTGTGTGAGTACACTTCTCATCATGAGGTTTTTATGGTGTTTCCATTACCTAGGCATGATTGATTAAGTCATTGGACATTGGTGGTCATGTCATGAATCAGGGGATAGTGCTGAAACTTTTAACCTTTTAGCACATGGTGGTTTTCCCTGACAAGCATTCTGTCTGTCTCACCAGAATTCTTCTATTCTGTCTCACCAAGAATACTTCATTAGTATAAAGTAGGATAATTTAAAGGGGCATATTATAAATAATAAAAATCTCCAAGAATTTTAGGAGTACTTGTGACAAGAACCTAGAAAGAAGTCCAAATACATAATTTTAAAACAGCATTCAACAGGATTATTGTAATGTTACATGAGACTGTATTCAAAGTCCTTAGCAACTGTTGGTACAGATAGCAGTGGCTCTACTGCTGCAACATAAGTGTTTCCTTTTCCCACCTTTTTCTGACCTTTTCATTTTTACCTCTCCTGTTTCCTTCCCTTGGCCACCTTTCCTTGTGTTGATGTCTTTGTAACCTTTCTCTGACTCTTTCACTTTTGGGTTTTTCATTATTATATCATATTTGGGTCTGATGTCTAGGACTTGAGTGGATTAGTGACTTGGCTGAAAGCTGGAGTGCTATTGGTGTAAATGCTACATGCAGGCAACTACATGCAGAGGCAAGCCTCAGTCTCATTCCTTCCTATGTAAGAGGAAACAGTATTAGAAGGTGGCTTTTTAGGTCAGAAAGCTGCAGTAGTGCTACTCAAGTGTTAAGTGTTAAGATGATGTTAAGAAGTAGCGATTTCTGTGGTCAGAATGAATCTTGAGATATATCCTTTGCTTTGTGGATGACACTGAGGATTTGAAAGAAAAGATTTAATCACCTTTTTCATCAGTAGGTGTGTCATAAGAATTACAAAGACTATTGTAGACAGGGAAATTTTCTTGATTATGACTCTTTCTTGATGTTAAATGGCCATGAAAAAGAGGTGCCTGTTGCTGTGAGTGATGGTACATGCCTGGAGTCCCAACTCCTTAGGAGGTTGAGGCAAGAAGATTGCAAATTTGAGGCTAGTCACACCAAATTAGCGCAAGACCTTGTCTTAAAAGTAATGTAGCTCAATGATAGAGTGCTTGTAGTTGAAGTCCTGATTCTAACAACACAAAACAACACCAAACGAAACAAAAACAACTGTACTTTTTACCTGTGCTCTCTAGTAAGAATTTATATGATATATTTCAATAATTTTTTAAAAATTCCTTTGTAGTTAACAGAAGATGAAATTGCAACCATTCTAAAATCTACATTGAAAGGATTAGAATATTTGCACTTCATGAGAAAAATACATAGAGATATAAAAGCTGGAAATATTCTCCTCAATACAGAAGGACATGCAAAATTGGCAGATTTTGGAGTGGCTGGTCAGTTAACAGTAAGTTGACTAAAACTTCTGACTTGTTCAAGTTTGTGACTAAACTTTGACAACATTTTGGGATATGGAAAGAATTGTGTAACTTCATTGTTCTTTTGAAGGAGCCATAATTAATCCAAATTTAAATATTATTTTAGTTGAGATTTAACGGACATTGAATATTGAAAATATATTATCAGAGAGCTTAATATTATAAAAAGGAAGCCATCTTGGTACATTGGTTTTGTAGCTTTTACTTTTGTAATATTATCTTTAATTAAATGGAAGTGTTACTTGTAGAGGTTTAGTTATTTCAAACTTAACATTCTTAAGTATATCAGTTGAAGTTCTAGAAATACAGTCCATTTCCAGTAGAATTTGTGATATCTGAGAGTTTAAAATATGTATTTTAAAGAATATGTTTGTCATACAGATTTTCTTTGTGTTTTTATAGTAATGCTTACATCTGTGCAATGTTATTACAGGATACAATGGCAAAACGCAATACTGTGATAGGCACTCCATTTTGGATGGCTCCTGAGGTAATTCAAGAAATAGGCTATAACTGTGTGGCTGACAT